CAACCCATGATGATATCAGGACACACAAATCTGATCACTTGCAAATAACAGTGTGAACAATCTGTCCTCAAATCAACTCTGACATGCCTGCAGAACGTGGCCTCTGTCTCATACTGTATGCATCAAGCTCCAAAATGCTGGATCCTACATTTCCCATAACACAACAGGCATCTTTCATGAGACCTGAAGCTTGACAAAGATATTCCAGAGCAACTGAGTTCATTACCCAACAGCTGTTACAGGCTGAGTTGTCATGATGACTCCTGGTGGATTTATTAATACAAAACAATGTCCCTTCTGAACGCCCCTCTGTGGAGGAGCTCCATTTACTGCACATTATCTAAGGGTCCTGGCTCCCTAAGCCAGGAAACACCTTGACTGTGTTTGTCTCCACTTTGTCAACAGCCTAAATAAGTTGTTTGCGTAAGAAAAGGGAGACACAGAAGAATGTAAACATCCCACACAGTAAGTCATTGTGCAGATGAGGATCTGGTGGCGGACAGAGACACCCAGACAAACTAGAAAAGCCAGTCACTGTTTGGTTTGCATGATCTTTAACACATCTAAATGTTCCTTTAAGCGCATTATTAACTCCTATAAACCTCCACAGCAGTGTTCTATAGTAATGTGAAGCAGAGCTGTGACACCACAAGTTAATTTAAGCCTTTGATATTATCTAAACGATGTGGGAATCAAATGCACTTGTAACTAAACTTACACCATTCTCCTTGTATTGATAGTTTGAGTTCTTATCCTGGTGGTCCCATCTTCCCTTCAGCTGTCCACGTGGTTCCTCTGCGTGGACTGGGGTTCCAGTCGGAGCGCGCGTCCTCTCTTTGCTGTGATGCGCGGCGTCGACTAGGAAGAGTCCGCATCGTCTCTGGAACTGGGCCACGAGCTCCGAGTCGTGGAGGTACGCCAGGAGCTCCAGCATGTTAGGTGGAAGAGGAGCAGGTTGATGTGGATTCTCTGAGCAGGAGAAGTAACTGAAGGGGAAATTTGCGCGGCCAGGGCGCACAGCTCCGGACAGGTGCGGCTGCAGGTGTGCGCTTCGGGTGTGCGCAGTGGGGCGTGGCTACAGGTGGGCTGAACAGGTTGTCTGCAGGAGCAAAAAGTTGTCCGACCTTTATACTGGGATGGTGTTATCACAGTAGAGCAAGAGGAAGGACGATTTAAACAGTGATGGCAGGGTGGAGTATGTTTACATTGCTGAGTAATGTATAGGCTATAAAGTAAGAAGGCAGTTCATTGGTCCAAAACCAGGCTGATATTGGTTTCAGTTGTTAAACATGAGATATGACTGATCATATATATCCAGAGAAGAGAGCAGAGTGCAACTTTTATCTGCACCCATCACTCTGCATACAATATTTGCAGTAAATAATCAGATCTATGAACATTTTGGACACAAAGCACACATATGGTTTAGGGGAAATAAGATTGCATTTTTAAAAGGTGATTCTCCATCACTATGGTAATGCTTTCAAATTGAATGTCAGTGTTGTTCCTGCTGTGACAGAGAGCTGTTGATGCAGGAAGTGTTTGCTAATTTCCAAAGAAATTACAAATCAGCAACATTTTGAGGACCTGAAAGTGGAGTCTGGGACACTCAGTACGTCCTGAAGGTGCCAGAAATAAAGAGTACTCGTTCATATATTCACCATAAACTCTGTAAATTGGACAGAATGACACAGACAGTCAGATCGGCCTATGGTCAAGTTTCTTGTCTCTGATCTATGAGATGTATATCTAAGAATGAGACTGTCATGACACATCCATTTGGATCAATATATCCATGACATGATCAACAATCCGATATCATCGAAAGTGAAAACACTGAATAATACTGTCACCCTTAAGAGCAGCCAAGAAAAACACAATTAGAGTGTTTACTGATGTCGTCTTGTATCAACAGGCCTCTGACTTTAACTGAAATCATGTCATGGCAGACTTTGTGACATCAGCAAAGTGGACTCAGGTCACATGACTTGGACTTGAGTCAGACTTGAGTCACAAATTTGATGACTTTAGACTCGACTTGACAAAATCAAGAAAGACTGCAGCACTGCTATTTATCTGATTAAGTTCAGTAGCACATGTTCTAACAAACTTGTTTACAAATCAATACAGTTTTTAAAAAACATTCACGATTATTGTAAATTTAATATATTGTTACTCAGTTGTTTAACTGGTGTTTGCTTTGGTGAAGAGCACATTATGTCTCATATAGGACTTGAAACTCAAAGTTTAGGGCTTGTGACTCGACTTGAGACTCACTTGTGACTTACAAAACAACAGTTCGGTCCTAGTGCTGGCAGATATCGTAATGTTGTCCGAACAATTGATAAAACACATTGTGATGACACACAATATAAACCCCTGACAGTGTGTGTGACCCCCTCTTGTTATGAACCAACTGTTCTCTCTTTAGGGGATGAAATTAACACTTTTCACTTGTCAGCAAGTATCAATATCTCGAGCAGGTGATATATATTTTAGGGAAATGAATTACAGGATGTGTCATAAAGGAAGTGTCAAACGTGGACCCACAGTGCAGACATAAGACTCTGAAAAGCTGCTGGTAGATGAAGAAAGTCTTTTATTGTAATTACAGAAGAGCGGAGCTGGAGCGGGACGGGGGTTGCAGAGTCTGAGGGCTTCCAGAGAATGTCCAAAAGGAACCAGGTGAGTATGGCCGTGGTGGTGTGAGGCTGAGTGCAGCAAGTCAGGAACAATCTAAGTGGCAGAAAACAGAGTCAAAATCCAGAGAGCTAACAGATGACCAAAAACTAAAGTTAAAGAAAAAAAGACAAAGGATCGTGAGCCAAAGCACACAGGTACCACACAGGTAAGCAGACAATCTGGCAAAGAGATGTGAACTGGACCAGGCTTACATACAGAGTGGAGTGGAGATGGCTTGATTGCTGATGGCTGGCAGGTGTGCAGGTGAATGGTGACTCCAACTCCGCCCAGCTCCAAACAGACACACATAAGACAGGAAGACAAGACAATAAACAAAAGGGGAGGGTAAACAATGGAAACACACTCGGATCCTGACAGGATGTTTATCACACAGTAACACACAACATCAATCTTGTGTCTTATAGTGCAGCCTCTATAAACCCACCACCTCTCTGCACCTCTCTTTTGTCTCTTTATTGTTGTTGTTTGTGTCTGTTTGTAATTTTTATGCATCTTTTTGTGGTTTTTGTCACTTTGAGGTAATTTTGTGTCTTTTTTTGGTTGTTATTATTTTGTTTCTCTTTGCAGTTCCTTGTGGTCTTTCTCTGTTAGCGTGGTGAGACCATCCTGATGACGTGAGCTCAACATTCTGTTTCGCTCTCTGTATGAGTCTGGACTCAGTGCCGCTCCACACCAACCTGGTCTCACTCTGAAGTCGTCGAAATCCGGCGCTTGGGCAGTGGCTTGCAGCATCAGACACCAACGGAAAAAGCCGTAACTGTGCTCAGCAGCATTGGGGGGACCACAGCAGGACAAGAACGAAAGTTAAGGCGGCGAAAGTCCAAGTAAGGCAGGTGGGCGGGGATGTGGATGGGTCCAACAAACACAGACTTCCACCTGGGAGAGCAGTTTTTGCATCTCGTGAGATTAAGCCAAACCCTGTTCTTTTTTCTAAACCTAACCACGTGATTTTGTTGTTGGAGGGAAAAAAACATCAATTAGTGTTGTTGTACCGACAAGAGACTGCATGTAAACTGTAAATTTCCTTTGAAAACAGAAGTGTATTTTGAAAGAAGACAATGCATGTTACAGGTCAACAACCAACGCACCCAGGGTACCTTTCACGTCATATGTGGACGTGGAAGGTCCATGACCAAACGTCGATATGTGACGAGGTATGGGTTCAAATGTGTTGTCCAACCTGGGCCAATCAGGGATCTGCACAGTAGCTGAAAATGTAAGCAATCAATCAGGGACTGTGTTGTAGTTGCAGAACAGTAATGATGCCCGCGAAGCAACAAGTGTGAACTCTAACGTTAGCGGAGTAAAAACGGCAATAAGTGAAGATACTGCAGAAATCAGAGTCAATAACAACAACTAAACTAGAACAATATGCTGCTACAGCTGCTGTGAGAGGCAGCAAAACATCCTTTGATTTAACAGTTATAGTTTAGTAATATAAAACTCTCCACAGTATGAACAGTGGTTTCAAAACCAGACACAACTCAGCCCTGAGCAGAGTGACCGTCCTCTACTGACCAGTCAGACTGCAGTGTTCACAGCTCCACATTTTAGTACCAGATCTGTGTGTTAGGTACCCCAACAGAGGGGGGACCATTGGTACGATCCACAATTTTTAACGGTGGTAATGGAAAAAAAATGTACCGAGCTGGACTGAACTGTACTGCTGGGTGCAAACAAGGCTTTTGGGCCCCTGTGCCTGTTCAGTTATCCATCCATGAGTCAAGAAAGGACTACTGTGCTCTGATAGTTTGGTCTCAGGGATGTTATCAGCTTCATGAAAAAAGACTAAACAGAACTTTCCCTGAGAATTTGTAGCTGTCGGCTTCAAAACCAAAATCTTGTGAGCACCAGTTCACAGGACCAGCTCACCATATGATCACATTAAGACTTAACCGCAGGGCTTCAGATCATTTGACCTCCATCAATGGCCTATTTGTGCACTTAGAAGAATAATGGCAGCACATTGAAAGCTGATATTCACACTCTGGAGGAGCCTCGCTGTGCTTATTGAAGCTGATTTAGTGACTTTCAGATGGTTAGAAAAGGCTTTTAGACCAGTGAAAGTTGCATTTGATGTGTTGTTGTGCACAGATATCTGCTCCTACAACATGTACATAATGAAATATCTGTGATTTTCCACCGCACCATGCTGAGATGCCTGGAGCCTCCAAATAAGTCTGACATGATTTATTGTCTAAATGCGGAACAGAGTCACTTCCCTTTACCAAATTAACCTCCCCTCTTCTTATATGGGTTGGATAATACAGTTAGCTGCCATTGTTCCGTCCAATCCCTCCTTGTAATGTAAGACAGCGCAGGCCCGTGCGTGATTGGATCATTGTGTGAGTTTACATGCTCTTTGTTACAGGAAACAGTGGCTTGACGCCCTCAGATGACCAAATTAGCGCATCCTGGCAAGCGCTACGTAATTGCGACCGCGCGTGGCTGTCATAGCTGCCCGGTGCACACACCCAGAGCGCACAGACAACCACACACACACACACACACACACACACACACACACACACACACTCTCTCTCTTTAATGGATTTAACGGGACTCTGAGGCGACACATCTCTTCCTCCCCTCCCTCTCTGTTTCTCTCTGCCTTTGTGGGATGCTCGGACTCTCTGGATGGATGAGCCCTCGCGTCGGAGTCACCACCATTACATCATCTGTTCCCACACAGCCGAGGACGCAATGAGAGCTTTTTACTATTAACCCGGGATCCCGATCGTTTAGACTGAGCGGCAGCATCAGCAGCAGCAGCAGCAGCAGCAGCAGCAGCAGACGCCCCGCTCTCCATCGAGGACGCTGTGGGGGTAATAACAACACATCAGCAATGTCTGCGGGGATGATGGCGTTTCAATGAGCGGGGAGGAGAGGAGGGGGAGAGGAGGAGAGACGTGCACCGTCATCAGCATCTGTCCGCCAGCTCCCTTTGTGTTCACCGGAGAATGTGAATGGCGAAAGATGACATGGCAGAGGTAGATTTGGCAGCAAACGGAGCGGAACCCCCCGGCGAGGCCTCCTCGGCGTTTCCCTACGAGGAGTACGAATGCAAAATCTGCTATAATTATTTCGACCTTGACCGCCGGGCTCCTAAGATCCTAGAGTGCCTGCACACGTTTTGCGAGGAGTGCCTGAACACGCTTCATCTCCGGGAGGAGCGGCCATGGCGCATCAGCTGCCCCGTCTGTCGCCACCGGACTCCAGTGCCGGATTATCGGATACAAAACCTGCCCAACAACACCAAGGTGACGGAGGATTTTCCGCTCTACATCGACTCGGACCCGCTGCCTCAGGACGCTTTGCCGCCGTACCCTCCCCCGCTGCATCCAGCCCTCGTCGCCCTCCGTCGGGAGGAGGCGTCGGGGACGTCCAGCGTCAGCCATGCGACCCCGTCCACCACCGTGTCCACTGCCACGACCCTCTCCCAGGACTCGGTGCGCTACGACAGCTGTCAGAGTTGCAAGAGAGTGGCGCTGACCACCGGCTGCGTCTGTGTCATCTTCTCCTTTCTGTCCATGCTGGTGTTGCTCTTCATGGGCCTGATCTTTGTGCACAGTCACAGCATTCCTCCCTCGCCGGCGGGACCCATTTGCTTGTCGGTAGCCAGCATCCTGGCCATGTTCTCGGTGGTCGTCACATGGCTCATCTGCTGGCTCAAATATAGACCGGACCATGAGACAGGCCGCTCATCCGCCACCAGTAACTCCCGGAGAAACGCCTGATGGCTCTGACTGACTCTTGATGGAGAGGTTGTACTGTGGCTGTGTGATTCTGTACATAATACTGGCAACTGATTCTCCTGCTCCCTTTACTTTTTCTAGGAATAAATCTCGTCCAAAATGGCCTTTTATCAGTATAGCAAACACCCAAAGGCCTTCATGTTGTTTGGAGCAATAGGCCGACATGATCCTTGATAATCTTTTCCTGAAGTTGTGCAGTTGTACTGACAGTAGGCCCGGCTGACCGGGCGTCCAGATCAGTGAACTTGTCCCCAAGACTCAGAGCTCTGGTGCTGGTCTCAGCTGTGGTTGGTTGGAAGAATGTGAAGTGCTTATTTCCAGGGTTTGACACCCTCCCCACCCTGTCCTGCTAAATTATATGCATATCCCACTCTGCCACTCACTGTATGATAACTGTCCATGACATGACGATCCACTCTTATATCTCAACAAAGCACTATTGTACTGTACAGATATTTGGCCATGTGCACTTCCAGGTGAGGGGTTTTGGTTTTACGGAAGAAGTTGTGTCCACAATCCAAACTGTAAATAGTCCACAGAGAGGTGGTGAGTGCTACTAGATAGGTGTGATCAGCCTTTCTCGAAGACCTTCCTAACCCTTGTGCTTTAACTTCTCCTCCAGGACGGCACTGTTTCCTTTATCACCATGAAAACTGCACCTCTTCCAGTTTTTTTTGGTGTGTTTTTGAAGGGATTTTAAGAGATAACTTGTGATTTTGAACCTGTGTTTGGCGACATTTGTGCATGTTAAGCTCCTGAAAGGTCAAGGCTTGTTGTTTTTATTTTATTTTTTACTTTCTAACAGAAGGGACATTGTGTCTCCTTCCTCGTGTGCCTCACCTTGTTGCTGAATGAAGTAAAACTTCACTGTAATCCTCATCACAATCATGCATGGGGGGGCTCCTGCTGCACACAGCATCCAGCATCCAGCATCCAGCTGAGGTGTTGGCAGGGATTTCCTCTTTCTCTCACACACACACACACACACACACACAAAAACAGGGTTTCCCAACATGGAGCTGCCTCAGAAAGTGGCACCTTTTTATATCTATGAATCATGTCTTTGCATCTGGCTTTGAAGAAACGTTGTAGTAGATACCTGAGGTACAATCCATCTTCAAACTCCTTTTCTTTCTTCAAAGCCACATGTGCACAGTATCTGTCTCCTGGCGTGGTGAAGAACTTATAAGAGGATACATTTGGTGTCACTCTGGTTCCTCTGAGCTCGTCAGGAGTCGTAATTACCTCTGGAAACTTAAAGAGCCCCATGAGCTCCGTGGCTGAGATTAGAAAGAGGCGTTTAAGAACGATAAAAACACTGATTGTGTTATTTCTGCACTAACACAATGCAAATATTTATGTACTAAAACTTAATAAATCCGGGTTTGTGTTTGTATCAGAACAGAAACACCGACCTAACGTCTGAGTGACACCAGCTTCAGACGACATGGTGTAATCAAAACGCTAACTTGTTACGAACATTACTGTGAAACATAAATCCTGTGTATATAATCGTTGCTACAATCTATACACTTACTTATTTATTATTCCTCAATATGGCAAAAAAGTGATACCTTATATGTGGTGCAGTTGACGACCCTCATATTGACAGATGCATCATGGTCTGTGGAGCATGTGAGTCGCTCCCTGACCTCCCTATCAGCATTTACTACAGAATTCGGAGACGATTCGGACACCAAAGTGGTTCGACCTTAGCACTTGTTGCCCTTGCACACTCATGGTATCCCTACCTCACTGCATGGGATAAAAAGGCAAAAAACAACCCAACATAATTCTGCACCCTCCATCTGACTCCCATGCTTGCTTCAATCATCCCGCTCGACCTTCTCCCAACTCTTAGACGATGCACTTTCACCCTCTTATTTGATACAAGTAACGGGGTGCACCTTTGTTCAGTGTAAGCATATTGTATTTATTTCAGAGGACCTAGAAAATGTTGTTGGTTTTTAATGAGAATCTGTGGTTGTTGTCAAAGTACCAAACGTATTTGCACAGAGAAATGTTCTTTATGTGCTGTTTTACATACATAAACACATTTCAGTAATAAAGGAAACATGAATACCCACTGCTTTTTAGTCTTTGAATCGGGGCAGCTGACAGAGCAGCCTGTTGCCAGGGCTGTATTTATGGTGCTCGGTGTTACATAATGAATGGTTCCAAACACAAGTTGATCACATGTTTGCACAAGTAAAACACATTGTGTTTAAATAGGAATCACATGTCAAATATAAACCATTGTGTAGCTGCTGGTGTGTCAGTGTAGCAGGCTCCAGGACGCATCAAATGCGCCCCCTACTGGTAGACACAGACTGCTGCACGCTTTAAAAATGAAACCCTCTTTGCATTTCTCATGTAGGTCTAGTTGTGCAAACTGCTGGTGGCTAAATCTTGATTAAAAGTAAATACATTTTTCAGTATGTTAATATCACTGGCTTAGATTCTTCACATGTTTACCTCTTCATACAAGGCTCCCCTTTTACTGCACATAAGTAAAACCATTCAGCAACAACATCTTCCCCCCTCATACACAAACACAAGAGATAAAACCCAATGTTGACCAGTCACCATCTAATTACAGGTTACTATTCACCTCACACATACTTTACATCAACCCAAAGCTCCATGCTTCATAAATTAAATCTGTCACACAGCCTGTGTAGCTCCCTCCTCTCCTCCATATGCGCAGCTCCATGTAAACAAGTCTGTGTTAGCTGATTGTTGGGATCAGCAACAGCAGCGCGACACTGCAGCCTATTGTATCTGAGCCCGGCGGTATTTCCAATCAGCTACAGTTACACTCATTATACTGGAAAATAGTTTGAGGCATGTTTACAAATGAGCCATGACAACAAACAAAATGAGACATGTTTTTGTGAGGATGCTGGGCCATGTACAAGGAGCTATTTCTGACCCCCCCCCCCCACACACACACACACACACACACACACTTCCAGACACTGTTCTCGCGCTAGCTGCGGGGCGTGACGTCGTCGGACAACAGCGAGGATTCAACAATACATAGCAAAACAAGATATAGCCTGTGGGCTGCTGACTCGTGTGTAGCCTCTGTTTTGTATTGCATGTCATAGCTCGACTAACTGTGACATTTTCTACTTTAAAACATTGCAACTTTTGTTCACTCTCAACAAAACTGCATTTGAAGTGCACAAAAGACAGTAAATCTTAGTTCTGAGTGAATAATAAATACATTTTAGTATTTAAAAAAAGTATAAACGATATTAATCTGTAAGGATATAAACAGTGGAGGAGTGTTACTGTAGCCTTAGGTACTTGTACTTTATTTGAGCACTTCCATTTTATGCGACTTTACAGGGTACTTACTGCACTTCAGAGGCAAATATCCTCCTTTTTACTCCACTATATTTATTTGACTGCTGTAGTTAGTGATTTTTCTATTAAAATTTTACACATAAAACATATAATCAATTCAGAAACTATGCATTGTTACAGATTAAACAGTAAAGCAGGATATAAAGTTGTTAAAATGAGCTTTATAGCCAAGTTAATGAGTCTGTAATGATGTTTATATATATATGTGTGTGTGTGTGTGTGTGTGTGTGTATGATAATAATAATATATGAATGTGATAATATTGATAAAATAACTATTTGAATTGGGCTATTTTACATTAATTCATGCTATTCTTTTTTTTATTTTTAATGTCCATGTTCTTATTTACACTTTTCCTTTAGACTATTTCGATGCAGGATTGTAATGGAGGGTTTTAAAACATAATAATAATCATGAAAAAATATTTATCTATTTAATTTATTGTAGTATTGTTACCTAAGTAAAATATTTTGATACTTCTTCCACGCCTGGTTATATCAACTTATGTTAGACAGGCTAATAAATAATATCAGATTTCACCACATACTTATTTCAAGATGTTAAGCACAATGACGTCACTGGTGTATTAGATAATATCAAAAATATCAAAACAATAGCCTAATTTATAGCTCACTCTTAATTCTTATTTTTATTAACTTCCTGTGAGTCATAATAAAAATAATTACGTAATTAATTTCGCCCTCTTTTATCCCCCTTTATCTCTGTAGGAAATATTACCGTAATATGCTGCAATGGAATCTAATTGATTTGACAAATGTGTGTGTTTGTGAGTGCGCTCCGCTCAGAGCATGCGATGCAACTAATTTATTTCTCATCAAGCGAGATTTCTGACTTTGAATTTCATCCCCCGGTAACGGATTGGACACGGAGATTGAGTGTCGCTTTTAAAGAAAGGGCCGAGGTATGCATCATGCCTCTCTCTGTTTTCCATTTGCCCCTCTTTTTTTTTCTCCTTCTTGGCAGTAATATCCAGTTTCAATAAGATCACTGACACTCCCAAATCGTCACGTTCGTCCTCGTAAAGACTGATGGTTTCTCTCCTTTGGAAACAAGTCAGATAGAAAACAAATCTTAGTTTCATCACACAGCCTGATAATTCATCTTTTATTCTGTTACTCAAACTGCTGAACACTGACCCACATAAAGGTGCGCGTGTTAACAGAGGCCTATTCATGTATCTGCCCATTAAAGCTTCCACTCACCTGATTATCACCTGCAGTATAATAATTAAGCCAATAATTGAAGCTCATCTGGTTTATGACACATGTCACATCAGTCAGAAACAACCCCACATTTCCCCTCTCCTTGAAGCCATGTTATGACAACCTTCAGGACTCATTCATGTCGATAACTCCTCTGCCTCAACTTAATGACACCCTCCTTAGCAGGTGAAAGACCCCCTGTGTGCCCTGCTTATTTTAAACCCAGCGTCCACCCATTGTTCACGCGCGTCTCTGACAGCAAAGTCAACATTTGAAGTGCGTTTTCTTTTCTTACTCCAAAGCAACTAAAAGAGGCGAATGTTAATTGAAACCTACTTAGCCTGTGGGATGTCTCTGCCCTGCATGAATTAAGGTGAATGACATCACGGGCCCTCCCGTGGGGGCCCCGTTATTGCTCCGTATAGCCTAGGTGAGTGGGGTGAGACATGAAAGGGCTGATCAGGTGCTGGGGGCGCTTTGCAGATTTGGCTTTGCACGAGTCACACAAAGGGTGCAGGGCTTCACTTGCAGGCGGTGAAACATATTTCCAACTGCACGAAATATTTTCCCATGTGGGCCTGGATGGTAAAAACATGTACCAATTGCCTATAGATGGTTAAACCCCACCTGTTCGACGTGCGCAATGTTCGACCAGCTGCGTCTCTAAGTGTCCGAAATCAAAAATTAGAAATTACTCTTTAATTTGAATGAATCCAAAAATCTTCTTTTCGTGCACAGGATCAAAGTTGGTGCTGAAACACTGAGGATGGACTCGCCTTTCTTCAGATGACACAGTGAAGTAAAACGCGCTTTTGTCTGATCCCAGAGCTCAGGAGCGGAACCTTTGCTCCAGTGATTGATTAGGAACTAAAGGAGAGAGGGTCCATGGCTTTAAAAGAAACAACTCCTCACTTCTCTTTTCTTTTTTTCTAGTTGGGGAGGTGACACTATCGATTATTAGACATTTGGGGATGCAAATACACCCACTTCTCCATAGTGGCACAGAGCTAGACTGGCTTTACGGCCGCCCTGGCGTCGTATCCTGCTGTGGCGCGCGTCCCCCTTCAGACTGTTCTCGGCTGGCTGGTGCTCAGTCTGAAAAACCACAATAAATTCCTTGAGGTGCACACACTTTAGCACCATTTGTGTCATATGTGAGGCCATGGGGTGGAAACAAATTAGGGGTCGTGTGCGATGGCATGCATTAAACGGGTTTCACGTGATTTTACGCACAGATTGGTGACACGATAAGCAACAGAGGAATCTAAGGGACTTTATTTTTCATCGAATATGCGTAAAACCAAAGTCACACGTTTGGGTTTTTGCTCTTTAGGCTGCTGTGTTGCTGAATAAGACCAGAATCAAGTTTTGGTCTTGGTTTTATAAAAACAGTTTGGAGCTGAAGTGGAACAAAATTCAACAGAAACCGCAGCTGAAAAGAAAGTTATGTTAGAAACATTGGACTGTGTGCATGTGTGCAATGACCTGTGTGTGAAATAAAGTGACAAATTATGAAGAATTAATATTTAATAGAGAAAACATGACTGAAAGTTTTGGTGCAAAATCATGTGTGACTTATAGAGAGATGCCAGTTGTCAGTGAAGCAAAATATAATGCAACAAAATAACCCTAATAGTTATATTATGTTATTTTAAATGTGCAGTTTTTTGAGACTCTTATGTGTGTTGATTTTCTCATATTACTCTGAGGCTGTGCTGTGCATGACTGACAGTGTTTCCTAATATTTTCTCCACCTCATTTACATCTATAAAGAAGCAATAAATCACAAGCAAACGTTATAGAAATGTATTTATTGTCTGTTGTATTGGGTTGCATCACACTGTTGTGTTTCTGTTAGTGCATGCCAAAAAGACTTCATATATTTTAATTTCATCCTGTATTATCTGTTATTAATCTGACTTAATAGTCTTTTTTATTTTATGTAATTTACAGGTAAAATCTCACATCAGGACCAACGTGTTCGTCTCTGCAAAACACTCCATGCATTAGTTTTTGTGAATCGACGCCCCTGTCCCGTCCGAAAGGCTCTGTGACAGCCTCTCTGATAGGACCAAAGTTTCCAGCCTCAGCCAATCCTCGCGCTCCGCTGCGTACCGTGTGTCCCCTCTCCGCCAATCCCAGCCGGGAGCGCTGACGGGGAGAGAGAAGAGCTCCGCTACTTTTGACTGTCTCCTCTCACTTTGAACCGGTGTCAACAAACAACAACAACAACAATATTTGCGTCCCAGCTTCACCACGTTGGCAACTGCATCCCCAAGAGGGTCCAGTACTGGCGAATAACCCGAGGAGGCTGAGAAAGTGACTCGTATTTACATCCAAGAATCAGGTTTTCTTCTCTTTTTGTCGTCACGTTTGACTCCTCAGAGGCTTGGGGCTCCCGGGACACTGGTGCTTGGCTGCAGCCCGGGTGAGGCTAACCCTAGCCGAGGCTAACCTTCCAGGGAACTTCCTCACCAAGCGAAA